CTAAGAAGTCAAGACTTTTCCCAATCCCCAAACATAAGGAGTTTGGGGTCAGTCCAGACTCTCCCTGCTTGCACCATGGGAGTGAAGCTGTCCCCTCTTATCACTCATTGCTTCTGTTTTTCCTTTCCAGAGCAACAAAAAGCAGCACTGGGTAAGTCTCTGTGAGCTCCTCCACATCAGTGTCCTCTCCTGGTCTCTCTGTACTCGGCCCCTTCCCCTCTTGCCTGTCCTCTCCATCCCTGCATCCCCTGGATCCAGGGAAACTGCAAGGGGATGTGCCCAGGGGGATGAGCAGCTTGAGATCTCCAGACCAGGGATGGACCCTTTCCTCTTCCCAGAGCCACTGGGGACCAGCCATGGGATGTGACTGGCTCTTGTCTTTCCTTGTAGATTGGAGAAAGTTTTTGCCTCTTGAGAATGCAGGAAATGTGGAATTTTATAATTTATTTTATGTTCTTTTATGGGTGGTTCTTCTCCCCTTTCCCTCTGTGAGGTGTAACTGGGCTGTCCAGCAAAGGGACTGGCCATGCCCGGATGTGTTGGTGACTCAGACCCCCCCGGTCCATGGCCCTGGGCTGGATCTCACCCCTGTTTTCTTGCCATTCCACCCCATTCTGAATTACACCGTGGTGCCCCAGAGGTGCCATCTCCCCCTGAGATCCCTTCCACTGCCCAGACCAGCTCCTCTCCCCATCCTGCTACTCCCTTGGGGCTGCAGCTGCGCCGGTGCCTCTTCCCATGGGACTGAGCTTGGCCATGGCTGTGGTGGGGCCATCCCCATAGTGGAGATGGAGAAGAGGAAAGAAGATGCCCAGTGTCCTGCCCCATTGGGTCCCTCCTGGCCCCGGGGTCGGGGGTGAAACCTGCCCAGCACTGAGCTCTGATGCTCCTGCTCCTCCTGTCCCCTGCAGATATGGTGACCTTGGATCCAAACACGGCTCATCCAGAGCTTGTCCTGTCAGAGGATTTGAGAAGTGTGAAGCGTGGACCTGCATGCCAGAACCTGACTGACCACCCCAAGAGATTTAGTTATTGGCGCTGTGTGCTGGGCCAGGAGAGGTTCTGGGAGGGGAGGTACTGCTGGGAGGTGGAGGTGAAGGAGGAAGTGGGAGGTGATTCATGGTGGGGTGTTGGAGTGGCCAATGAATCCGTGGAGAGGAAGAGGGTTTTTAATCTGAGCCCTGAAGAAGGGATCTGGGCAGTTGATGGGTATGAAGGGCAGTTCAGGGCTCTCACCTCTCCTCGCACCGTCCTGTCCCTGTCCCCAGTGCCCAGGAGGATCTGTGTCTGTCTGGACTGCACACAGGGGCTGGTGATGTTTCTCAACGCTGACACTGGGGGTGAGATCTTCAGTTTCCCACCAGCCTCATTCCATGGGGAGACCCTGCGGCCCTGGTTTTGGGTGGAAACATGGAAAACCCAGCTGTGCCTCAGGGGCAGCACCCGTGAGACCCTCAGCCCCACTTCCATCCCCACCACAGCCTCCAGCAGACCCTGTCCTTCTCCAGAGACTCCCCACTCTCCTCTCCTCGACCCTGCAGGAGATGTCCCTCTCTGTCCTGTCCCCGCCCAGGGACCAGAGGGGGACTGAGGGACAGAGGCTGCTGTGGGGTCCCCCTGTGGGGCTGGGAGACTCCAGGCAGTGGGGGGTGTCCTCATTTCAGCTTTGATGGAGTTAATTTTCTTTCTAGCACCTGCTCCGTTTAGGATTTAGTGTGAGAATGCCATTGATCACACAGGATTATATACATGGCTGAGAAATGTTCACATCAGTCAGGGGCCTTTCCAGCTTTCTCTCGAAGCTGAGAGGAAGCGCAGTCAGGACGAGGTGGCTAAAGGGATATTCTACCCCACTGATGTTGTGTTGGGGATAGAAACAGGGGCTGCCGGGGGGCTGGGACCCTCCATCACTGCTGGGGCTGGGCTGGGCAATCAGTCCTCAGGTTCTGAAGGGCAACTCGTGCTGTATCCTTGTATTTTGTGTATTTTTTTACAATTAATAATGTTATTTTTTTCTCTAGTAACTGTTGTCTGTAACTGTTGTCTTTATTCCAATCCACGAGGTGTTTTCCCCTTCTTTTCTCCCTCTTCTCTCCCCCCTGGTGGGGGATTAGGCAGGGGGGTAGTGAGTGAGTTGCTGCCTGCGGGCAAACCATGCTCAGGGGCCAGGGAACTCTTGGACCGTCATGGACCCTCCAGGATCCCCTTGGAACCTCTTGGAAGTCCCATGGAACCCCTTAGAGCTTCTTGAGTTCCTCCTGGAACCTCTTGGATCCCCTCTGACCCTCTTCAATCCCCTTGGATCCCTTGGATTCCTTGAACCTCTTGCATCTTTTTGGATCCCCTTGAAACTCCTTGGAACCCCTTGGCACCTCTTGGATCCCCTCAGATTCCACTCAGAACCCACTCCAATTCCCTCCAATCCTTTGGTATTTCTTGGATCTTTTTGGATCCCCTCGGTAGCACTCAGAACCCCGCTTGGAATACCTTGAACCCCTTGTATCCCCTCAGATCCCCTTGCAACCCCTTCAGCCCCCAGGAACCCATCTTGGACCCCCCTGGAACCTCTTGCAACCCCTTGGAACACCTTGCATCCCCTGGGCTCTGCCTGACACCGTGAGCATCCTCCTGTGCCGCATGCTGCTTTTCTTAAGAAAACTGTTTTTTTCTGTACCCAATTCCCTTCCCAGTTGGGCACTGGGTGAAGGCAGCTGTATTTTTTTTTGCTTATATGGGGGATTATTGGGTCCATGAGTGGGAGCATCTTTGTCCCAGAGTACCTTTAGTTGCAGCAGAAGAGGAAACGTATGACCGTGGAAGGGAATTTCCCATCCTGCAGCTATTTTAGATGGATTTATTACAATGGTGATTCACTGCTGCTGCTCCACAGCTAGGAGCTGAACTGGGGCTGGGCACCCCCCCGCAGGCCTTCTTTTGTGTATGGAGGTGGATGGGACATTGGGGACAGCAGGGGACACGTCCTCCCCGGGAATTCTGAGGCCTCCAAGTTGACAGGGCAGAGGGACAGGGCACAGCTGGGTGTCTCGACACTCAAAGTCCCCCAAACCTACCTTCCCCTCATCCCTGGCTCCCCACTAGCTCCCGGCTGCTGTGGGGCTGCAGAGACACTGCTGGGCTCCTCCACCAGGTCCAAAAATCACAACCAAGCTCTAAATTAACCTTAACCTTCTCGCAGCCAAATGGACCTAATTTTCCTTCTTCCCCTTTTTCACTTTTTTTCTGCTCCTTAATGTTTTCAAGCACTGGGGGTGGAGTTTGAAGGTAGCCCCAAAACCCCCAACGTGTGCATCCGGAAAGCGAGGGGAAGTGTGAAACCCTGTGTATATCCTGTTGTCTGCTTCCTCCTGCAGCTTGTATGGGTCCGGTGAGTGAATTTCCTTTCTGTAAGAAATGTACAATATTTAATATCACTTAAAATCTTGTAAGGGACATAGAGTAAATCCTGGGGAGGGCAGTGGGGCAGAGCAGGGGCAGCACCAGGAGCCATGTGGGGATCCTGTCCTGCCCTTGACCAAGGGTTCATTCAGACGTCAGGGTGCAGGTGGCATGGTGGGATTTCTGGAGTGGTGTTGGGGGCATGTGCAGCCCTTCCTAACCATCCCCTCAGCGGCGGCTGTAACCCCCCTTGTCCTTCCCACCTTCTTCTCCAGCTCTGGCCACAGATGGGGTTCCCCGCGAGCCCATGGGGCCTCCTCAGCCCTTCTTCCCCATCCCCTCTGTGGCGGCTGTAACCCCCCCTCGCCCTCCCTCTGCCTCCCTTCCCATCCTCTTCTCCAGTTCCGGCCACAGATGGGGTTCCCCTCAAGCCCATGGGTCCTCCTCAGTCCTTTCCTGACTCTCCACCTCCTGCGGCTGGGATCAGGTAGGGATCCTGCAGGGCTGGGGGGCTGAGCGTGCTCTGGGTGGCAGATGTTGCTCAGGAGAGGTGCTGTGGGTCAGGAGGAGCAGAGCCCAGGGCTCGGCTGCAGATGGCTGTCACTTTTCCTTGGTCTCGTGATGCAATATGTCCATTGCCCTGGGACATCTTCAGTCCCATCCTGCGGTGCTCCCCCAAAGCTTTTGTCCCTTCTACCGGGCCTGGCTGGGCTGGGGTGGGGGATCATGATTTTCTGGAGAAGTTCCCACCCTCAGGAAACCTCCTTCTCCTTCAAGTCCTGCTCCCTCTCCAGTTTCTCCAGGGTCTTTGGGCCATGGGGAGGGCAAAGCAACACCTGCAGGAAGGAGTGGGCACTGCTCACACCAAGCTGGCCCCTTCCCATGCGATGCCCGTAAATTAACCTGGGTGCGATCTCCATCCCTCTGTGTCCTTCTCTGTCACCCAGCGGACTTCAGAGTGGTGGGGCCAAGCCGACCTCTCCTTGCCACCGTGGGGCAGGATGTCGTGCTGCCATGTCACTTGTCTCCACGCATGGATGCTCGGAGCTTGGAGATCAGGTGGATCAGGCACCAGTTCTCTGAAACGATGCACCTCTACCGAAACGGAGAGGACCTTGATGGAGCACAGATGGAGGAATACATTGGAAGGACAGAGTTGGCCAGAGATGGCCTCTCCAGTGGGAGCCTGGACTTACGAATCTCTGAGTTGAGACCGTCTGATGATGGCCAGTACGTCTGCACTGTGCAAGATGCTGCCGCTTATGGAGAAGCTACAGTGGACCTGGAGGTGGCAGGTTTGTGGCTGCTTTGGTGTTTTGTGGGGGATGTTCCAGGTGTCCCTGGGTTGCTGTGTCTCTCCAGGAGAGACATCCATCCATTCAGTGCTGAAGGCCAGGAGCTGTTGAAAGCTGTTTGGGTGCGAGGGGTCTCTTCCCATCTGTCTCTGCCCAGGACGGAGCATGCACGTGGTCCTGGAGGTGTTTTTGGGGCAAAGAAGAACAGACACAGTGGCTTTAGCTCTCTGTGGTGTCCTTGTGGTGCAGTGTTGGTGCAGAGACCCTGCCTTGAGGCACTGAAGTGCAGCTGCTGAATGCTCCTCTGCTGGGCTGTTTTTTGGGAGATCTGAGGTCATTTGGCATCAGGGCTCTCTGGTTCCTGCAGATGTTGGGGTGGGTTTGGTGGTGTGAGAAGCACGTGGCCAGCCCCACAGCTCCCTGAGAATCCTGTGATGTGTCTGGCATGGGCTTGGGTCATGGCCTTTGAGCTGGGTCCATCCCTAACTCAGGGCAACCCTGGGCTCTTCCCCCAGCCATGGGCTCTGTCCCTCTCCTCTCTCTGGAGGCTTACGAGGATGGAGGCATCCGGGTGGTGTGTCGATCGGCCGGCTGGTACCCGTCACCGCAGGTGCTGTGGAAGGATGGCAGCGGGCAGCATCTCCCCTCGGTCTCCCAGAGACGTTCCCCTGATGAGAGGGGCCTTTTTGAGATCCAAGATGTCGTCATTGTGAGAGGGAAGGAAAATGGGAACGTGTCATGCGTGGTGAGGAACAGCCGCCTGGATCAGGAGCAGGCGTCGTCCCTGCACATCTCAGGTACGGGGTGGGAGCAGGGCTGGGGTTGGCCACGCTGTTTGGCAGGTACAGGATGGCAGCAGGGCTGGGGTTGTCCATGCTGCTTGAACTGTTTGGGGGGGTTTAATCTTGGGGGGCTGGAGAAACATGTGGGGAGTGGGAAAGGGGAATGGGCTGCACCCACAGGTGAGTTTTATTGCAGGAGGTAACGTGACCCTGGTGTGCTTCAGGGGAGCAATGGCATGTCCATGGGATGGGGAGGAGGATGTCCCCTTGAGCCCAGGGCTCCTGGCACAAGACTTGAGGAATTGGAAGCTTGTGGTTGCTTTGGGTTTTTTCTTCTCCTCACACAAGGGAATGTAAAATGAGGCCATTTCCTGGTGTTTGTCTGTTTCTCAGCTCCCTTTTTCCACAATGCCCGTCCCTGGATGGCAGCTCTGGGTGTGCTCCTCTTACTTTTAGTGATGTGTTTTGGTGTCATTGTTTATCTCTTCCGAATTAAAGGTGAGTTTGTTGTGGGGGCTCAGGGTTGAGTGAGGTCTGGATGTACGCAGAACAACATCAGAGTTGTGTCAGAACAGGTTTTGCCTTCGTTAAAGAAGCTCTTTGGGCAAAGGAAGGATGGGGACAAGGACACAGCGTGTGGGTGGGAGAATAGGGAGCATGGGCAGAGCATCTGGCTGGCGGGAAGATCCAAGAGACCCTGAGGGGATGGTCCCAGGGGTGAAGCAGCTTCTCTCCTGACCTTCTCTTCCTCTGCCTTTGCTATCCAGTGGTGCAGTCCAGAGCTCTGGGTGAGTCCTTCTGGTCCCTGCCACCAGCAAAGCCTCCTGAGAAAGGATCCCCCTGGGAGGGAGGTGGCTTTGGATGGTTCTTGCTGTTTCTCTGGTCACTGATGTTGGTTTCTGGAGCCCAGAAGGGGACTGGAGAGCCCTGGGTTGTGAACTGGGCACAGGAGGTGTCCTGGCTCATGGGAAGAAGCGGAGATGTGTACTGAATGAGTTTAAATCAGGCTGATCCTTAAGTCTCTGTTTAAGTCAGGGATAACGGCAGAGTGCCTGGGTGGGTGGGGTGGGGATAGGAGGGCAGGGAGCCCCCTATCCCACCAGGAGCCAAGGAGACGAGACTTTTCCCACTCCCCAAATATAAGCAGTTTGCACTCAGCCCAAGCTCTTCCTGCTTGCATGAAGGGGTGAGAAGCTGTCCCCTCTCATCACTCATTGATTTTGTTTTTTCCTTTCCAGGGAAACGAGATGCAGAACTGGGTGAGTCTCTGTGAGCTCCTCCTAGCTCCGTGTCCTCTACTGGGTACTCTGTGCTCAGCCCCTTCCCTGCTATCCCATCCCCTCCATCCCTGCATCCCTTGGGTCTGGGCAAACCCAGTGGGGAGGTGCCTGCGGGAGTGGGCATTTCAGGGACACAAGAGCAGAGATGGACCCTCTTCTCTGACCAGAGTCTCTAAGGAGAGTTTTTGGGACCGGACCAGGCTGGAGGGAAACATTCACAGGGTCTGGGGAGTGTTTTCCCACATCCCAAAAAGGAGGAGTTTGGTATCTGCCCACTCCTGTGGTTGCAGGCTTGATGAGAAGCTGTTCCCCTCTGATCACTCATTGCTTCTTTTTTTTCCTTTCCAGAGCAACGGGATGCAAAAG